GGGAAAGAGAGGCACCAAGGGGGTGAGCCCCGCAATCCGAACCCAGGCCAGCCGACTCTACGCTATAGCCTGGCTTTCATCCACGACTCCATGCAGCCCCTTCAACACAGTGGCTCCCTCACGGGGCGCTCCTGTGGCGGGATTTCACCTGGTTAAGCGCAGCGCAGTCCGCTGGAGTGCTCAGCACAGGGTGAGGCTCCCTGTGTCAGCTTCCTTCCCACTAGACCTGATTTCCTGAAGGGAAAGGACTCTCATTTCACACTTTTCCCCACAAGCACAGGACCTGGGACCTGGCACCTGGGAGCCATTCAAGTAGTTACTGAATGAATCAATCGATCAATGAATAACTGACTCCACTGATAACGGAATGTGTGCACACATTATAGAAAGTGTTTACTAAGGATAATTTTTCCTCAAAGAAAACTATGTGCCCAGTGTAACCTGTTTTACTTCAGGGACTGCTCTGTTGTCCTAAAACAGACATCTATCCAGAAAGAGGCTACACCAGCTCCCAACATCCACAGATTCTGAGAAAGAAGACCCCTTTAGTGTATACTTATCCTCGCCCCATTTATGTGCAATTTAAGCAGGACTCTTTGGGATAAAATCAAAGGAGAAACCCTTTGGAAACTTTTCCTTCAGACTTAAATTTCAATTTATCCTGCTGTTAAAGCAGGGTTTTGATACAAAACTTGCTAATCTGGGTTTCTAAATACAAAGCCTTCAGACCTTTCATTGAAATGCAAGGTGATTAAGTTATACATATATACATTCATACATATATGTGTATATATATTTTTCTTTTTCTCTTAATTTCTTTATAAGCCATACAATTGTTTAAAACATAAACCACAACATTCTTGAAGGGTTTATGATGTATAAAGGTGTAATATGTATAACTGTAACATAAAGGATGGGAGAAAGGATATGAACCTATATAGTTGCAAGATTTCTATATTTAACCTGATGTGGTACAATAACTAATTAGACTAAAAAGTTAAAAATGTATATTTTAATCACTAGGGCAACTACTAAAAAATAATGGCAAGAAATACAGCTAAAAAGCCAACAAGAAAATTAAAATATAATTCTAAAAAGTATTCAAAAACCCCCAAAAGGCAACAAAGTAGGAACAAAGGAAACAAGACAGATGGGAAAACTAAAAATCAATAATCAATGATAAAATGGTAGATCAAAACCCAAACATATCAATAATTATATTAACCTTTGATGGACAAAACATTCCACTTTTAAGGCAGAAATTATCACAATGGGTTTTTTTTAAAAAGGAAAAACAAAATTAAAAAAATTTAAAAATAAAAAGGAAAAACAACTATATTGAAGCCACAGACAAGGTCCAACTATATAGGCTGAAAGTAAATACATAGATTAAAATATTCCATGTAAACAATAAAAAAGAGGGCTGGAGTGGTTCTGTATCAATATAGGCTGAAACAAGTTTAGTGGAAAAAATGTATTACAAGAGATAAAGAGGGAAATTTCATAACAATAAAGGTTAGATTCACCAGGAAGACATAACAATAAAAAATGTTTATGTGCTTAACAAAATACATGGTGCAAAAAGTGACAGAATTAAAGATAGAAGTAAACAATTCCAAAATCATTGTTGGAGGTTTTAATACCCCTTTCTCAGCATTTATCAGAACAATTAGAATATGATCAGCAAAGAAATATAAGATCTGTGCAACATTACACTTTGACTTCATTGATATTTATAGAATACCTACAATGACAGAACACACTTTTAAGTGCAGCTGGTATGTTTTCCAGGTTAGACTATATACTGGGCCATAAAACAATTTTCATTGACTGAAAATAACTCAAATCATACAGGGTATGTTCTCTGACTATAATGGAATAAAATTATAAATGAGTAACAATAAGATAAGGGAAACCCCATATATTTGGAAATTAAGCAACCAACCTATAAATAAATCATAGGTCAAAGGAGAAATCACAAGGGATGTTAGAAAATATACTTTAATAAAATTTTAATAAAACTAAACTGAATTATAACAAAAATACAACTTACATAAATTTGTGGAATATTGCTAAAGAAGTTCTTAGAGATAAATTTGTAGTCTCTTTTTAAAAAGAAGAAAAATTTTAAATCAAAGATTTGAATTCTCACCTTAAGAAATCAGAAAGAGAATATTAAATAAAATCTAAAACAAAGAGAAGAAAGGAAACAATAAAGAGCAAAATTCCAAAAAATGAAACCAAAAAATAAAGAAAATCAATGAACCAGAAGCTAGTTCTCTGAAAAGATCAATAAAAGTTTTAAATCTCTACAGGACTTCCCTGGTGGTGCAGTGGTTAAGAATCCACCTGCCAATGCAGGGGACACGGGTTCGAGCCCTGGTCTGGGAATATCCCACATGCCAAGGAGCCACATGCCCATGCACCACAACTACTGAGCCTGTGCTCTAGAGCTCACGAGCCACAACTACTGAGCCCGTGTGCCACAACTACTGAAGCCTGTGCACCTAGCGCCCATGCTCCACAGCGAGAGAAGCCACCACAACAAGAAGCCCACGCACCGCAACGAAGAGTAGCCCCCCTCGCTGCAACTAGAGAAAGCCCACACACAACAAAGACCCAACACAGCCAAAAATAAATAAATAAATAATTTAAAAAAAAATTATAAGTGTCTAGCTGGAGAGAGAGACTGAGAAAAAGAGAGAAAAGGCAGAGAAAGGATGAGAGAGAGAGAGAGGAAACTGAGAACACAGATTACAAACATCTGGAACGAAAGACACAGTCGCACTACAGATCCTACAGACATTAAAACGGTAAAGAGGGAAAGCCATGAAAAAAATGCCTGATAATACCAAGTGTTGGTGACAATGCAAAGAAACTGGAACCTCCATATCTCACTGGTAGGAATGTAAAACGGTATAGACACTTTGAGAAAAAAGTACGGCAACATCTTATAAAATTAAAGAGGAACTTAGATGGAACAAGCAATCCCAGTCCTATGTATTGACCCAAGAGAAATGAAAACTACGTCCACACACAAACTTGCATGTGGAATGTTCACAGCAGCATTATTCATGATAGCCTGAAACTGGGAACAACCTAAGTGCCTGTTAACTGGTGAATGGATGAATTCGTTATATTATATCCATACGGTGGAATAGTACTCAATTATCAAAATTTTTAAAAAATTAATACATGCAACATGAATGAACCTCGAAACATTATGGTAAGTGAAGGAAATCAAACACACACACACAAGAGCTACATACTTCCTTAAACGGCAAGGCCACAGTGTGCAAAGGGAGGAGTATTTTCTGGGGCTGGTGATTATGGGAGGGGCTCAGCTGCCAAGGAACATGAGGAAACTTTTTATGGTAACAGGACTGTTCTGTATCTTTACGGTGGTGGTGGTTTAAATGACTGTATATAACTACCAACAGTCATTAACCTGTAAAATTAAAATAGGTGAGTTTTATTGCTTATAAATAATACCTCTATAAAACCTGGAACAAAAAGAGTTCCTTGAAATCAGCTAGTCTTAGACTGTCAGTAATTAGACAAAGCATTAACAGATACCTTGGGGAATTCCCTGGCCATCTAGTGGTTAATACTCTGTGCTTCCACAGCAGAGGTGCACGGGTCCGATCCCTGGTTAGGGAACTAAGATCCCACAAGCCACGTGGCGTGGCCAATAAAAAAAAAAAGGTATCTTGGCCAACCTTCCTGTTAAGGGGTGAATTGTTGTAAATCAACAATTAAAAAGAAAAATTTAAATAAAAGCAGAGAAAAGAAGTTACAAGTATATGAAAAACAAAGTTTTTTTTAAAGGTAAATTGTGTCTCCTCCAAAGAGGAGTCCTAACCCCAGCACCTGGGGTTAAATTTTTTCTTAAAAAAATGTGACCTTATTTGGAAATAGGATCTTTACAGAGGTAATCAAGTTATTATAAAATGAGGTCATTAGGGGGGGCCCTCATCCAGTATGACTGGTGTCCTTATAAAAAAGGGAGACAGAGAGACACACACCCAGAGGAAAGAGGGTGTGAAGTCATACAGGGAGAAGGTGGCCAGGTGACTGGGGTGATGCACTCCACAGGGAGCTGGAGAGAGTTCCTTCCCTAGAGCGTCATGGACAACAGGGCTCTGGCAGCATCTTGATTCCGGACTTCAGGTGCCCAAAACTGTGAGACAATGAAATTCTGCCGTTTCCAGCCACTCGGTTTGCGGTACTTTGTGTTAGCGGCCCCAGGATCGCAACCCCCTGCCTGCTGATACTAACGTGCTGACTACACTGAGCATCATATGCTTGTCCAGCTTCTCAAGTAATTGCTCCGAGATGAGAACAAACGCCCCAAACAGAGAGAAATATTATACAACGGCCCCAAGGAAGCAAGTATTTTTATTCTAAATTGGCTAGTAAATGCCGACTCCTTCATGGGATTGTTAGGCCAGGGCAAGAGCCACCAGGAAGTAATTTTAAACTTCATCAGAACATTTTATAAACATAAAACAGATCAGCTACACGGAACCTATTCACTATATTTAAATTCCTTCATTTTAAACACTCAAGTTAGGCTGGCAGGAAACCCAACGATGGGTGCCCACCATGCTCTCAATTTCAGAACACAGCAGGCACACTGTGGAATTGAGTCTCTTTTTGATTAAAGCCTCATTTCACTTAAGTGCTGAAAACTCACTTATTTTTGTTTAAAATACTACCTATAGTTGTTACCAGCACTTGTAATTTGCAACTTGCTTTCCTAGGATCGGGAATTTGGGACTTGACATGCAGTATAAAATCAGTATGTGTACATTTTGCTTATTGATATGCTGTGATCTGAGGGAATCTGAAATGTTTTACCAAAATAAAGCTTAAATTTTTTCTTAAAAAAACAAAACAAAAAAACACAGCAGGCACAGTCCACACAGACATGCCTGCCTGTGAGTGAAATGTGAACGGCCCCTACCCCACTGGCTGCCACCAGCCTTCCATGCAGTCACTAAATGAAATTGTAAGAAATTGCTAACTTGATTGAATCACCCTGAAGACTTTGAAAACAGTTTCGTACTGGTGAACATAGAAATGTTGCTTTCACTTTACCATGAGCAGCTTCTTTTGGTCTCTCCCATCTCCTCCCCTACAAACTTCCTCTCCCCTCTGCAGACTATATTTCTTACCACTAACACTGAACATTTATCAGCCATTAAAATACAGGACTGGCACATGCAGTCAACCTACCCCTTGTGATGAAGACAGGGGCCCCTCACAGGTGACACAGTATCTCAGGTGAGCAGGGTTCCCTGTGCCGCAGGTGCGGCAGATCGCTTTCTCCTTGAAAACAGAGAATGAGAAATACGTGTTTCCATGGAGGCTCTCTAATTTCTTCACAGATAAATGTATTCATTTTTCCTGCCAATTCATCTGCATAGTATAGCATACTAGGACAAAAGGGTGTTAATAAGGTGGAATAATATGAGAGGTACATTATCTACCACCATGATGATTAGCAGTCAGATATTCTGATGATTTCATGATCTAAAACTTATCTTTCGAAATAACTTACATGGAACACAAGTTTGAATACACACACACACACACACACACACACCATGCAAAAAGGGAAACCATATGTAGCTGTGCTGATCTGAAGTGGCATCTGTAGGTTGATTCAAGTTTAAGGTTTTATTTCAAGGCATGATACTCTGAAAGCCATGAAAGTCAGAATTGAGAAGTTTCATATTTATTTAATCATGCTTTTTATTTCTTTCTCTTATTCAGTATTTAGTATGTAAATTCTTTAAGTCCAATAAATCACAGTACTGTTCAAAAAAAAAAGAAAGAGGGCTTCCCTGGTGGCACAGTGGTTGAGAGTCCGCCTGCCAATGCAGGGGACACGGGTTCGTGCCCCAGTCCGGGAAGATCCCACGTGCCGCGGAGCGGCTGGGCCCGTGAGCCATGGCCGCTGAGCTTGCGCGTCGGGAGCCTGTGCTCCGCAACGGGAGAGGCCACAACAGTGAGAGGCCGGCGGACTACAAAAAAAAAAAAAAAACCAATACCCTCATTTGCTGCCTCATCCACAGCATTGGCAACACATTGACCAGTTGAACGGTTCCAAGCAATTTCGTGGACCCGGCTTAGTCACTGGGGTAAAACTTTTCCTTACAAACCAGCTGGAAGATGAGAACAATTTTCTAATCTCCCAAATGATAAGCTTTAATTGATACAAACCAGTAGGTAGTGGCAAACTTAATCTCAAAGAGGATTTTGTAAGATGCCAAGGTCAACTTGACACAGAGCTGTGGTTACACTGGCATTAGCCCTGAATCATTGGGCGAGGCGCTGGGGTCTCATAGGAGGTACCTGAGCCGTCACTGTGTGAGTCATCAGATCTCTTTCAGAGTAATGACTTCACGAGGATCCCAGCCCTAAGCCTCATAGATTCCAGGAACCCCGGACACGATGGGAGTCCTGGAGGTAAAACATGTGTTGCTCGTTAGAGCCAGAAGGAAGCTGAAGGTCTCTTTCTAAGAGTTCATGTGTCTGGTCAAAGGGGAGATGCTGACATAAGTTTTCAACTGTAGAAAACTGCCAAAGGGATGCCTTTGCTTTTGTAAAAGAGAGAAAGAAAGAACGAAAGACTTCCCTGGTGGCACAGTGGTTAAGAATTCACCTGCCAATGCAGGGAACACAGGTTTGAGCCCTGGTCTGGAAAGATCCCACATGCCGCGGAGCAACTAAGCCCGCGAGCCACAACTACTGAAGCCCGTGTGCCTAGAGCCTGTGCTCCGCAACAAGGAGAAGCCACCACAATGGAAGCCCGCATACCGCAACGAAGAGTAGCACCCTCTCTCCGTGGGCAGCATTGAAGACCCAACGCAGCCATAAATAAATTAATTAATTAATTTAAAAAAAGAAAGAAAAGGGAGGGAGGCAGGAAGAGTCAAACAAACAAAACCAAATTTAAATGTGTGAATATATAGAAATATGTTTCTGTGCATCTAGAAAAATACATAGAAGGACACTCACTAAGCTGCTGTCATTGGTTATTTCAGGGGATAGAAACAGAGGTGGGGTGGGGAAATTACACACTTCATTGTGTATCTTTGGACTATTTCACGTGTTACTAAAAATTAGAAATTTTTAAAAAACATAAAATCCTCTCCTATTCTGAAATACAGGCCAGCGGATAAAAGAAGAAACTCCTGCTACTATATCCCGGCAGAAAAAAGTATCTGATGCAGCAAAATTCCTCAGCGTTGACAAGGGCTTTACATCAACACGGGAGAAGCCTGCCACAGTGGGTGGGTCTGTCTGCATCACAGCAGGCAGAGGACTGATGGTGCTTTGTGCACTTTGTGGAGTGAGATGGAGACCAACCTAGAAATGGGAGGGAGGCATCAACTGGCCTTGCTGGCGCTTTGGGAAGGGAAGGCACGCTGGCTTCCGTAAGCAGCTTACACAGGTGTTCCCACTGACCTCAGAGGAGGCTCTCTGGGTGAGAATGTGATCTAAAACTCTGTTGCCCTTATAACTTCTGGGAAAGCCACTGGGATGAAGATTTCCAACCAGGGTCCTTCTGTGGGTAGCAGCAATACTGAATGTCCTGTCGTAAAAATCAGGCATTTCCCACCAGATCAGATGTTACGGTGACAAAGGTCTCTCTAAAAATCAAGTCTGATTAAAAGCCGTCCTTGCTTTTTTAACCCTCCAGGGTCCATTGGGAAAGAAGGGTAGAGAAGGCGCCATTTCCCACAGCCCACGGGCTCCGCCAGCATTTCTGCAGCTAATGAAACCGAACTGCTTGCAAAGTTTTGGAGCACATCCTGCAGTTTCCGGTCTCTGTGCATCTTTCTGGCATGCCCCCCTCCTCCACCTCATACCTGAACACACACCCACGCATCACTTCTCTTTGTCTCACCCCTTCCCTATGGCAAATGCCTGTGCCTCCTACAACTTCTGCTCAGATGACACCCCCTCTTCAAAGCTATCCCTGGCCCTGGCCCCTGATAAGAGCTGACGAATCCTCCTCTGTGCCCCCTGCCACCACGGCAAGCGGGGGCCCAGATCACTGGGGCAGTGGGTGCAGGGGTCACAGCCCGGGGAATGCAGTGAGCAGAGCCCTAGAGGGTGGTTTGGGAAGCAGCAGCTGGTAAAGCCACATCAAAAGGTGCCTTTGAAAAAGCTCCTCAGTACCTGAGGGCTGGCACGGGAGGGGCAAGGTGGAACCCAGAGAAACTGGGTGAACCTGAAGGAAGGTTCATGGCTGCGCCTTGGTGAGGGATGCCAGCTGCCTGGGGACCTCGCTCCTTCCTCAGGCTCCTTCCCCTAATCATCCCTGTTCAGTGACCTTAGAGCAGGTGTCCAGCGACTGCTTCTCAGGCTCACACCACTCCCTGTGCCACCTGGCACTGCTGGGAGCTCAGACTTATTCCAGTAAATTCTTAGGGTGCAGAATGTATTGTGTATGTGGTAAAGTACACAAAAAAGAAGAGGACGGAGTGCCAAGAGTGACCCAAATGCTTTGGTAAAAGCAGCACAACTAAAGCAGTATAACTAATAGTATAAGACATACAGCTGTTGAAGTCATGTCTTTATTAAAAACAATAGTAAATCGTATGAGTCCAATGTTAAAACAGACAAAACACCAGGGAAACAAACACCGTGCCAACAGAAATGGTCCTGAGATTCTCACTTCTGGAGATAATGATAAATGTACCCTAAGTCATTATTTCCTAAGGTCTTGAGAACGTTTCAGAGAGCCCTTTATTGAAGCTGTGCCTATTTGAGGCATTTTTAGCTAATGTGAAGCTTGGGTCCTCAGTAATTTCATGATTCCCTTTGAAAACTCAACATCAGAAGTCAAACAGGCTTGATTTTCTAAATTCCATCTTTGAATTATCAACTGATTTCCTCATTACAAGGTATATGTTCTGCCTTTGGCCCATTAATAGAGTAGAAATCAGTTTCAAGTGATTGTCTCTCATCAAAACTGTACTTTAAAAAGGGGTCACTCTCAGGAATAAAGACGCAGACGTAGAGAATGGACTTGAGGACGCGGGGAGGGGGAAGGGTCAGCTGGGATGAAGTGAGAGAGTAGCATTGACATATATACACTACCATATGTAAAATAGATAGCTAGTGGGAAGCAGCCGCATAGCACAGGGAGATCAGCTCGGTGCTTTGTGACCACCTAGAGGGGTGGGATAGGGAGGGAGGGAGGGAGGGAGGGAGACGCAAGAGGGAGGAGATATGGGGATATATGTATGCATATAGCTGATTCACTTTGTTATACAGCAGAAACTAACACAACATTGTAAAGCAATTATACCCCAATAGAGATGTTAAAAAAAAGAGAAGGCAAAAAAAAAAGGGGTCACTCCTGGATTTGATGCTCCTAATTACTGTAGAAGTCCTATGTTTATCCTCAACAGAGGACTTACTTATACCTTTGTACCCCCTGACTTTGCACAACATGGGAAGAAGTCTGGGTTTCAAATGCTGAAGGTGACATGATATATACTGAACCTGGCTCTCAGCCAACACTTACCCCTATTCCTCCTGTTTTGAATAGTTCAAAGGGTTCAAATATCCCGGATAATGTAAATATTAGTGAGAACAGGTGCTGCTGTGATTGACAGAACAGCCAAAATCATGGTGACTTAAACAAGAGAGAAGCTGGTGTCTCACTCTCATGTATAGGAAGTTTGGAGATAGGCCTCCAGGGCTGTATGGTGGCTTCCTGCAGTGACTTCTAAAGTTTCTTAAGATTGAAAATAGTCATCAAACAAAAAGATTAGTAAATTTTCATCTACCTGACTTTGGCCCAGCCATTTCTTCAAAATCTCACTGCTGAAGGGTTAGTTAGCCTGGGATACTTTTGAACATTTTTTTCACAGTGAAGGGGAGCTGGGACATGTAAGAAAAAGTGGACTTACCTTTTCTCTCATAAACTTTGCCCACATAGACTCCACAAGGTCATTTTCGGAGTGTTACAGTTCTAATTGTACGTTAAGTCCACACACTTCCCTTATTGCTAAAAATTCTTGCTTTTTTAATCCCCAAAGTTATCTTTATTAAATCTATTTCATCCTCTAGTGACCTTTACTTGAGGTCAAGTAAAAAGGAGGTGAATGGGACTATAAATTGAAAAATGCAGAAAAGATACAGTTGTATGTTCAATAATTCTACCAAAAAAATTTTCATGGCATGACATCATTTGTCTAACAAGATTTTTTTAATGTTCATGATGATACTTAACTTTTTCATCCATGTGACTAGCTGTAATCCTTCTTTTCTACCTAATAGAGACCCATAATCAAACAAAGCAAATGAAAATATGAAGTGACTTTAAGGACAAGATGAAAAGTCAATATTAATTACAATGTTCGAATTTAAATATATGAAGTAAACAACTGTCTGTGTTAGCTGCAGTGCAATTTGTCCTCCAAATCCATGTTCAGGGAACACATTTCTGTGTATCTCTCTTGATATTTAGATCCTATTGGCAAGTTAAACTCTTGTGCAGATGCCTTTCCAAAAATGAGAGTGGATTTTGTTCACAAGTATTAGCTTATCAATTGTTAGCCAATTCCATCAGCTGAAGAAAGATGTTTAATGGTTCGAACATTAATTTCTATGTGTTTTATTCACACTTTTACAGATTCACATTTCATTACCTTCAAGCGGAGGTTGGCCTGTGGCTGCAGCTGTGGAGTGAGAGGAGCCTCACAGACCACACAGATGGGCGTATTCACGGGCACCAGGTTTTCACATTCTGCACATAAGCCCATCTGCACAAAGAACGAGGTCAGGTTGGCAAAAACTGAAGGTATAAGTAGATCTTAAAATGTAAGGTCTAATTTGCTTTTGTAAAAATTTCTTTTAAATAATTACCACTTTTATTCTTATTTCCTTCCTATTAAAGTAAAAACATGTTTATTGTAGAAAAGAGAGGTATAAAGAAAAGAAAAAATAGCTTACAGCATGATGGAGTGAGGAAATCGACACATCTTCTCTCCAAAAAGCAATTCTAAAGTTGGATAAAACTTTAAAAATTCTGAAAGTCAACCAAAGACAGACAACAAACTGAAAAGTAATGAACTTCAGGCAAGGACACCACAGGTCTGTTGGGTCTTGCTTGGGCTGTCCCCATCCTCCTCCAGCTCTGTCAGTGTAGAAGCTCCACAGAGCAGGGAGGGCTGTGAAAAGTAGCAGCTTCGCGGCTGCTGACGGGCAGGGCTCGTGTGACCTGGAGCACGGTTAAGGTGATGATCTCAGTGGCAAGCAAACAGGGAGGACAGTGGATCCACTAGCCTGTGCGCACGGTCCTGTTTGGGGCAACTGATGAACCAGCAACTAGCCAGGGACCTGAAGGGGAGTTCCAGAAGGTAGGTCATCTCTAGGGGGCTTGATAAACTCCTCCCACACCCTCAGTTGACTGGAGGATGTTCGCATGTGCAGTGTTAGACCTAAGAGGGTCCAAGCCACCCATATATCCTTGGTTGCACATGAAGATACAAGAGAGCTCAGCATAAAGTAAGAGCTGGGGCAGACCTGAAAACAGCCTGAAGTTTGAATGTTCCACCCAGCCCACAACAGATCCCTCAGCAGAGACTGGAAGCCTTGGAGGACCAAGGTGTTTGAGCACAACTTCTGGCCAATCTTCAGTCAAACTCTAAGCTATGCACACCCAGGGCTGATCCCAGGCTTAAAAATAAAACAAGGGGAGCTTCCCTGGTGGCGCAGTGGTTGAGAGTCTGCCTGCCGATGCAGGGGACACGGGTTTGTGCCCCGGTCTGGGAAGATCCCACATGCCATGGAGCGGCTGGGCCCGTGAGCCATGGCCGCTGAGCCTGCGTGTCCAGAGCCTGTGCTCCGCAACGGGAGAGGCCACAACAGTGAGAGGCCCACGTACCGCAATAAATAAATAAATAAATAAATAAATAAAACAAGGGGAAAACCCTGATATTAGTGGCTGAAAACTGCAGGGAAGACAGGCTTGAAAGAGTTAATCCAAGTAAACAAACAAAAAAAACAAAACAACACCACAAGGAGAAAAAGTCAGAATCTAGACTTATTATACTCTCTAAAATGTCCAAAATTCAAGAAAAAATTGTGAGATGTGCAAAAAACAAGAAAGTGTGACCAGTACTCAGGGGAAACAAATAGTCAATAGAAATTGTCTCTGAGGGGGAGGAAAAGAATACATATTGGAGCAGAGCTTCTGTGTATTACTGGATTTAAATTAAATTATTCTGAAATAGACTTGAGAAATTAAGGAGCATGTTGTAATCTCTAGCGTTCTCTTAGAAAATAACTTTTAAAAAGAAAAGAACTTTTTAAAATGGTAAAAAAAAAAAAAGGAAACATAGGAATGAAAATGGCATACTAAAAATTATTTAACACAAAAGAAGGAAGTAAAGGAGGAACAGAGGAACAAAAAAGACTTGAGACAAATAGAAAACCAACAGCAAAACAGCATATGTAAATCCAACCACATCATTAAAGACATTAAATGTGAATAGACAATAACACCACATTCAAAAGGCAGAGGCTGTCAGATGGGATAAAAAATGAGAGGTATGCCTAACTAGAGACATGACCTAGATTCAAAGATACAAATAGGTTGAAAATACAAGTATATAAAAAGGTATATAATGGAAATAGTAAGGGTAAGGGAGCTAGAGTGACTGCGTAAATATCAGGAAAAAAGGACTTTAAAAACAAGAAATGATCCTAGAGACAAAGAGAGACATTTTGTGATGATGAAAGGGTCAATAAATCAGGAAGACACAGCAATTATAAGTGTACATGAACATAACAACAAGTCCCCAGAATACATGAAGCAAAAACTATGAGTCAGCCTTAAGATAGGCTCCATCTATCACCTGACGACTCTAAGCCCCAACTTTTACTGGTGGACCACAGTGGCGTTTTGGAACTCTAAGGATCAGCATCAACTCAGAGCTAGTATCTAGTAAGCCCCCAAAGGTTTAGGCATTTCCTTTTCCTCAAGGCACAGGTCCCTCTGGAAAAGGCTTCAAGGATCACCTATGACATGTACTTGCAATGATGCAGGGTCCATCCTCAAGGACACCCAGCCGCCCTTCAGTTAGGGAGCTGTGGGTTTGCAAATCGACTTAAGTCTTGAAACTGGGTGACACCCTTGGATGTTCCACTGTGGTGGCTCAAGTCACGTGTTTGGCTACAAAACATGTGATTTTTTTTTTTTCTATTATATAAACCAAGCAAGACACTAGTAGGCTGCCCATCTGTTTCATTCTTAGGAAGACCACGATCAGATTCTGATTACTGATATGTTGCTGTGGCCTTTTACAGTAGATGTGCCCACCTTGTCTTTGGCAGTTAAGTGCTGCCACTTGACCTCTGGAATCCCGTTAGCTCCCTGAAATCAGGGAGCCCATCTCAAGAGTGGCATCGCCCCATGATCATGTCTGGCCTCCAAGGAAAGCAGCCATGGAACTTTTCAAGGATGCAGGCGCTCCTTTCACTAATATGTATTCCATGAAGGACGTGTCTTCTGGGCCTTCTTGTGAAATGCAGGTGAGAGTTGGGGGCACACAGGACACACCTGACAAACCTACTCCAACATGATATCAGGAAAGACTTAGCATCGAGTCTCACTAACCATAGGCTACTACTGAGTCCAAGTTTTAGTCAGCCAACCCAAAAAGCAGCTGGAGTCACCACCAGCTTCATTAGCTAACATATTAAAATCAATCCAGAATCTATAAAAGAGGCATGCATATCAGTGAATTTGGCCCAACTTAGTGTTATATTCTGCCCTCATTTAAAATCCACTCCCAGACTTGTCCCCCAGGATTCTGCCAATATACGTTAGCAAAATTGTGCTCTTCTTTTCATGTGTAAGCTTTTTGTCCTGGATCACAGAGTACACCTGTCCCTCTAGAGCAGCTGGGATTGGACCGTAGTCATGCTACAGGATGGCTACGGTGAGTCTTGATGAGAATACACATCCCCTTTCAAAGCCACTGCCCCAGGCGAGGTTATCACAGAGATTTCAACGAAAGGAAGGCTAGCATCCTCAGACAGGAGGGCCAGCTCATCCACTGGCAGAGTAATTTAGGGAATCAAGAATGTGCGTTTCATCTGGGTCCAAGCCAACATCTCCATTCCCAGTTTCAGGATCCTGTTCTGTCCCAATACATACCCAAACTTTCACAGAAGAAATGTGGTGATAAAGTGAATTTAGCTTACGCTGTAACTCACCAACATATTCAACTAAAGTTTGTGTTTGCTTTCAGCAGCAAATCCCTGGAGCTACAAGAAATAGGTTCTTTTGGGGCTGTCATGGGGGCACTCTGGTTATTGGATTATGAGTGAAAGGTCTTGAGCTTGTCAGTTTCTGTGATGCTCCCAGGTGCTCAGAACTGTCCACACCACAGCCCTGGTATCTTCATTGCTGCCACAACCGTCAAGTGCAGCGGCCACCTGGCCACCCAAGAGGCTTGCTTTAGGTGATGCTTCCTCACTACCAGACCCATGTGATAGCTTGATTTCTTGTGATGCCACTTCATACTATGAATTACTAGCATCCTCCTTCCCATGGGCAAAGAGCTCAGCACTGCTCCCGAGCAAAGGGAAGGACCAAACCCCTTCTTTGCAGGTCTAGTTCCTGGGGCCGCTCCCGGTACCAACTCTGTATCAGTCAAAGCCCAGTCAGGAGACAGAAACCTCAGGGTAATTTAAACAGGGACAGTTTAATATAAATAGTTATTAACTAATAACAGAGGACTAACCGCTAGTGGGTAAAGCGAACTCTAAAGGATACAGGACTACCCAGGATAGGGAGAGCCACTGCTGCTCCGGCTCAGGCAGAGGACCTGAAGGGGATCCAATCTGGAAGAGGCACTTACTGAACTGGGTGTGGCTGTCACCCACGGGATGGCAGAGAAGTTCACTAGGGTGACACAGACCAGAGCTGGCCCCAGAGCAGGCGGGATCCTATGAAACTCATGAGGACTCTCCCCCTGGGGAGCTGGCAGGACATGCTGGGAAGGCACGTGCAGGCTGCTGATAAAACGTGCTGGGAAACTGCCCCCTGGGATGCCTGAGAGACTTTCTGGAAGCTGGCTGGGTACCCGTGGAGCCCACTGAGAAGCTGTTCACGAGATGCCATGCAGTTCACCAGGGTTCAGCACAACCAGGTGTCCTGCAGGTTAGCTGAGCAGCGTCAGAGCACAGGGAGAGGGAAGCACAGCAGAAACAGGAAGAGGAGTCAAAACCTTTCTCCTGCAGTGTCCCTCCCAGCAATGGGCCTCTACTGACAAAAATTAACATCAACCAGCTGGCAACGGAGAAATCCACAAGGCAGGATGAAGAGGCACCCCTCTGCATCTCTCTAATGAGACCCTGAGTGGCTTGGGTCTGGGATCCTAGGAGTAGGATCGCCCTTTGAGTACCAGAAACCCAGCTGAGAGCAGGACACAATAAGAACTCAATAGGTCAAATTACAAAGCTGTTTATACATTAGAGCACGTTAATAAATATCATTTACAGGCAGTATAGGTGTTGCAAATGTCATCATTTTGAATATTTATAATCCCTGATAACCTTTTCTCCCTGTAATAACAAAGAAAGTCTTGAAAATCTGTTTGCAGGCCAGTAAAAAATAACTTTTGACATCGCAGGGAAAATTCAAACCAATGAGACCTGTTCATGTTTTATTTGCTGTCCTGTCTTTTACGAGGAGTTCAGAATATATCGTGGAAGTAAACTGACTTCTACAGCACGTCCATTTAGTATCTGGCCACTTGCTTAAATGCATAACTCAATCCTAAAACTCTGGACTTTGAATTTATTGAATAGTGACTTTTTCTCAGTGACTATCTTTTTTAAATGGTCATTTTCAGTCAACTTCACAGATCCTTTTATATCATTTTGTAAACCTTAGTCCAGAAAAGCCCCAAAGTATCACGTGCAGAAAAGATGAACACATTTTGGTGAAGGTTTTGATTTTTAGCAAGCCAAGTATGTTTTCTAACTAACTACAAACTTAATGGTAGGGTAATATCAATTATTATCTACACTTAGCCAAAACTTTTAAATTTAGATATACTGATCAATCTATAGCCTATATAAACAGCTTCTTTGGACAGAATGAACTATCCTATGGATATACAGACTTGTAATTAGTACTCCTGGTCATTTATTTCTAGAATATATTTCCTTATTGTCCCCAGGTTAGGAACAGAAATATCATATAAGTAGGAAACCTGTATTTATCCATATGTGAATCATTGAAATAAAAAGATTTCAGTCTTTTCCTGAGCCTATGATTCTTCAAGGCCACACAAAAGAAATGGCATTGCAAACAAGTTTTTCATTCCTAAGTAGCAGTCTGGATAGTACAAGATTCACTTGCCAGTAATTTTTTCAACAAGTATTTATGTTTGTGGTTCACGTGTGCCAGGTACTCTGCTCCTGCTGCAAACAAAGATCAGATAAACCAATGGAAGAAGATTTTAAGGATTCTGCTGCTCACCTGAGCTCCTTCTGGGGGTGGGAGACGACAGCCAAATATGGGCGGGACAGAAGAGCCACATTCTAGACAGTAGCGGGCAAAGGGGTCAGACGGGCGGGGCACAAGGCAGTGGGCACACCTGCAACAGAAGAGGGTCCTGACTGGCCATGTTCTGAGGAGTGCACGTTGAGAAGTCAAGTGTCAATCTTGACAAGCATTCAAATTTTTGGAATAAAATAGAAAGCAGAACACACTCAAAGCCTATGGAACAAGTTCAAGATGGGAGATGCTTGTCTAGTCATTTTATTACAAAGTGGCCGTACAGCTGGGACTCATAGTGCCCTTCACCTGAAGGCCAGGCCCATCTCACTTCCCGGCCGCGGCAGCAGTTTATCAGCTGCCTTTGACCCCACATCCCAAGTGGGGCCCCAGTCGTCCCATCACCTTGGATCTGGCGTGTGTGAGGGTGAGACATGGGAATTCCAGGAATGTCCATGCTGCACTTTGCTGACTCCCCATCTGAGAACTGAGCCCAGCCTCAGCGAGAGTCATCTCACCTGGCACTCGGAGTCACTGTCAGTCAGGCCCTGCCTTTGTCTTCACTCACCTGGGTGGAGTCCGAGGCTCTGCCTCAGCAACGTCTAGCCCCATTTCCCAGGCAGCTGGGTCCCATCCTTCAGCCCTCACCCACCTACCTCATTCTGGGTATCAGCCAAAGTGAAAGGACTCCAGGAACTGGGCTCCCCTGTGAATAACACTGCTGCTGCCAGGCATTTCCAGGCAGGTTGAGGCCCCGATCCTGTGACCTATCTGAACTGCTCAGCATCTATGATGTTTGCATACTGTGCCCTGGATGGCTTCGTTGCCTGCACCAGTCTCTACCATGGCCTCTCAACCATCACTAGCCTTTGTAGTTGAGTCCATTTGGGGAAAGGATAGTCTTTTCAACAATGGTGCTGGGCAAACTGGATAGTGACATGAAAAAGAATGAGGTTGGACTGATTGATACCTTATGCCATATACAAAAACTAATACAAAATGGACCAAAGACCTAAATGTAGGAGGTAAATTTATAAATCTCCCAGAAGGACACATAAGAAAAAAGCTTCATGACACTGGATTTGGCCATGATTTCTTGGATGTGATCCCAAAAGGATAGGCAACAACAAAAAAATAGATAAACTGAACTTCATAAAAATTTGAGTATCAAAAAATACTATCAAGACTGAATAGACAACCTACAGATGGGAGAAAATATTTATCAATCATATATCTGATAAGGGATTAATATCCAAGATATAGAAAATATTCTTGCAACTAACAACAAAAAACAAACAAGCCAATTCAAAAATGGGCAAAGGACTTGAATAGACATTACTCCAAAGAAGATGCCCAACATCACTCGCCATTAGGGAAATGCAAATTGAAACCACAATGAAATACTACTTTACACCCGTTAGGATGACTATTAGAAAAACAGAAAATAAGTGTTGGTGAGGATGTGGAGAAATTGAAACCCTTGAACACTTCTGGTGAGAAAGTAAAGTATGCAGCTGCTGTGGAAAACAGTTTAGCAGTTTCTCAAAAAGTTAGACATAAAATTACCACATAACCTAAAAATTTCAGTTCTAGGTAAATACCCCAAAGAATTGAAAGTAGGGACTCAAAGAGATACTTGTACACCAATATTTACAGCAGCATTATTCATAATAGTCAAAAGGTGGAAACAATTCAAATGTCTATCAACAGATGAATGGATAAATGAAATGCAGTATATATATACAATGGAATGTTTTTTTACCTTTAATATGGAATGAAATTCTGATACATGCTACAACATGAATGAACCCTGAAAATACTATGCTAGTGAAATAAGACACAAAAGTTTAAATATTGTCTGATTCCACTTACATGAGGTTACTAGAACAGGCAAATTCATAGAAACAGAAAATATAAGAGAGATTACCAGGTGCTGGAGGGATAGGGGGATGGGGAGTTATTGTTTAATGGGAGCTGAGTTCTGTTTGGGATGATGAAAAAGTTCTGGAAATGGACGGTGGTGATGGTGGCCCAACACTGTGAATGTACTTAATGCACTGAATTGTACACTTAAACATTGTTAAAATGGTAAATTTTATTTATGTATATTTTACAATAGAAGTATAAAGGACTGTAAAAAAAATAACTGATTATGTCAAATAAAAGTAATAATGTATTGTGGGGTTCATAATATTTGTAGAAGTAAAATAAATGACCACAAGAGCACAAAGGCTGTAGTTATCCAGTTATTGGAAGTATACTGTCATGAGGTTCTTGGGCTATAAATGAAGTGGCATGATACTACTTGAAGACAGACTGTAATAAGTTAAAAATGTGTGCTATAGGGCTTCCCTGGTGGCACAGTGGTTGAGAGTCTGCCTGCTGATGCAGGGGACACGGGTTCGTGCCCCGGTCCGGGAAGATCCCACATGCCGCGGAGCGGCTGGACCCGTGAGCCATGGCCGCTGAGCCTGCGCGTCTGGAGCCTGTGCTCCGCAGCAGGAGAGGCCACAACAGTGAGAGCCCCGCGTAACGCCAAAAAAAAAAAAAAAAAAAAAAAAAATGTGTGCTATAAACCCTAAAGCAACCACTAAGAAGAAAACTTATAGCTAATAAGCCAACAAAGGATACAAAATAAAATAAAATCATAAAACATACCCAATTAATCCAAAAGTAAGCCAAAAAAAGGGGGGGGCAACAAAGAATAGATAAGACAAACAGAAAACAAATAGCATGACAGCTGACAAATTCAAACATATCAATAATCAGAATAAATATAAACACTCTCAACAGCCCAATTAAAGTGCAGAGGTTGTTAGATTTTTTAAAAGCAAGACCTGATTATATATGCTGCTTAAAAGAAACCAACTTTAAATAGAGAAACACAAATAGATTAAAACTAAAAGGATGAAAAAAGATACATCATGCAAATACTAATCAAAAGAAAGCAGTAATGGCTATTTTAGAATCAGACAAATTTGATTTCCGAGCAAAAAATATTATCAGGGTTAAAAAAGGTTATTTTGGGGGGGAGGAGGGATAAATTGGGAGATTGGGATTGACATATACAGACTACTATTATTTAAAATATATACCTAATAAGAACCTACTGTATAGCACAGGGAACTCTACTCAATACTCTGTAATGACCTGTATGGGAATAGAATCCAAAAAAGAGTGGATATATGTATATGTATCACTGATTCACTTTGCTGTACAGCAGAAACTAACACAACATTGTAAATCAACTCTACTCCAGTAAAAATTAATTTTTTTAAAAAAGGCTATTCTGTAATGATAAAGGGGTCAATTCAGCAACAGGACATAAGATTCCAAGAGGTTTATATATTTAATAATAGAGCTTCAAAGTACATAAAGCAAGAGCCGATAGAAATACAAGGACAAGTAGACAAATTCATAATTATAGTCACAGATTTCAGCATAATTTTCTCAATAATTTATAAAACAATAGACAAAATCAGTAAAGCTGGAAAAGACTTAAATAATACAACATTGTATTAGTTTCAGGGGTACAACAGAATGATTCAGTAATTGTATATACTGCAAAATGATCACCACAATGTCTAGTTAACATCTGTCACCATACATAGTTACAGAATGTTTTTTCTTCTCTTAGCAGCTTTCAAATATGCAACACAGTATCATTAACTATCATCACCATGCTGTACGTTACATCCCCAGGACTTATTTATTTTACAACTGAAAGTGTGTGCCTTTTGGCCACCTTCACCTATTTCACCCACCCTCCCAAACCCCAGGGAGATGCAAATTAAAACCACAACTACCACCTCATTAGAATGGCCAAAAATAAAAATAAAAGTGTTAGTGAAAATGTAGGGAGACTGGAACTCTCATACATCATACACTACTGGTGGGAATGTAGAATGGTACAACCTACTAAGAAAACAGTTTGACAGTTTTCTTAAAAAGTTAAACATATGCCTACCATATGACCCAGCCATTCCACTCCTAGCTATTTACCTAAGGGAAATGAAAGTATATATGCACAGGACAACTTGTATACACATGTTCATAGCAGCTTTATCTGTAATGGCCCCAAAATGAAAACAACCTAGATGTACATCAACAGGAAATAGGATAAACACACTGTGATGTATCCGTACAATGGAATACTACTCAGCATTAAAAAGAAATAAACATCTGATGCATGCAACAACATGGGTGAACCTCAAAGTAATTAGGTGGAGGGAAAGAAGCCTGGCAAACCAGTAAATACCGAATCAGTCCATTTATATACAGAACCAAATGCAAACCAAGCTGCAGTGACAAGAAGCATACCAACAGTTGCCTGGAGATGGGGAGGGACACGTGGGAGGATTTCAAAAGGGTGCGATGTAGGACATTTTTGGAGGTGATGAATTTGTTCATTTTCTTGATTGTGGTGATAGTTTCAAGATTATATGTATATGTCAATTGTACTCTTTAAGTGCAGTTTATTGTATGTCATTTGAACCTTTAAATATTGTAAAAATTTAATAAAAAACAGTTGGGACAAATACCACTGTTATGTCCCATCCTCAAATCCTTTTTGACCATACTGTGTCTTAGCAGGACTTAAGAAACAGTAAAGAGAATGCAATACTTACTTGAGAAAGTCTGTCTCCCTTTGAATCCTCATCATCTCTGTGCTTGTCAAACTCTTCTGGCCAGTTATATGTGCAAAACCAGGGAACTAAAATTAAGAATATGTATAAAATCATGCTACAGTACAGTAACATTACATTAAGAGTTCATTTCAGTGCTTTGTCCTGCCATATCCAGCAGCCATCTTTTAAAAACCATGATGGGGGGGCTTCCCTGGTGGCGCAGTGGTTGAGAGTCCGCCTGCCGATGCAGGGGACACGGGTTCGTGCCCCGGTCCGGGAGGGTCCCACATGCCGCAGAGCGGCTGGGCCTGTGGGCCATGGCCGCTGAGCCTGCGCGTCCGGAGCCTGTGCTCCGCGGCGGGAGAAGCCACAACAGTGAGAGGCCCGCGTACCACGAAAAAATAAAAAAGAGAAAAACCATGATGGGGAAAGTCTTAAGTAATGATGAATTGTTAAGTAATAATTTTAATTAAAAAATTAAAGTGATGTTCATCATCAGACACATGTATTTCATTAAAAACAAGAGTTTACAAGAAAAGAGATCTGAATTACCATCAGACAGACCAGATTTCAGAATTTAGAAACCTAAGTGAGCATCCATATTTCTCAAAGATTAAATCCCTAGGAAAAGGACTCACCTGAGAGAACAGTCATCTGCTGTTATCCAGAAACATTTAACTCACTTAGACATATTTTAATTTGAGCATCCTCTTTGTACCAGGCACTGTATTTGATGCAGGGTTGGGGGACAAAGATAAACATTACATAGTCCCTGCTCTCAAGGAGCTGAACTAGTGTGCATACAAAGTACTGAAACACATGGGCTCAGTATCATAACACATCTGTGTTGAGTCCCACGAGAACCTGGGGAGGTTATGATCCCATTCACCTGCTTGGGGAGAAGGGCTCCCCAGGGCTGTAATGTCTGAGCTGGGCCTAGGAAAGTAAAGAACAGTTTGTTAAGTAGACAGAAGGACAAAGGGAATTCCAAGTAGAGGAAACCCACGTGTGAAGACACAGGCAGGGCAGTGATGGCCCATCCTGGTTGTCGGATATGGTCCAGGGGTCGGAGTGGCAGGGGAAGGGAACAGAAAGGACGGCTGAGGGAGAGAAGCTAACACTTATGGAGGGTCTGAGAGTAGGAAAATGTGCCTGGCACATTTCACAGTGACCTCCTAAGGTCAATAGGCAACATTATCCCTATTTTATTTTACTTTTGTAACATTTTCTTCTGATATAATTTCCAACATAGAGAAAAGGTGCAGGGATAGTACAACTAACTCCTTTGTTCGTGTTAACATTTTGCCCCAGGTGCTCCATTCTCTCTCGGAAGCATGAGAATAACCTGCAGTCATGGCTCCCCTCCCCCCCCCCAAACACTACAGCATTTCCCAAGAACACAGGCGTCCTCCTACACAACAGTGCAAACATCAAAACCAGAAAAGTCAGCAGTGATACAATACTAGCATCTAATCCACATATATTTGTTCACATTCCGTTAGTCGTGCCGGCAATGGCCTTCGCAGCTATAATTTCCTCCTGGACTAGGGTCTAGTCCAGTATCACACTTTGCTCTTAGTGGTCATGTCTTTTCTGTCTCCCTTAATCCGGACTCTCTCCTGAAGCCAGCACGCCTAGAGCCCGTGCTCCGCAACAAGAGAAGCCACCGCAATGAGAAGCCCACGCACCGCAACCAAGAGTAGTCCCCACTAGCCGCAACTAGAGAAAGCCCATGTGCAGCAAAGAAGACCCAACGCAGCCATAAATAAATAAATTAAATAAATAAATTTATTAAAAAAAAAGAAATAGAAGTGTCTTTAGATCACTCCCTAACACCATACACAAAAATAAGCTCAAAATGGATTAAAGACCTAAATGTAAGGCCAGAAACTATCAAACTCTTAGAGGAAAACATAGGCAGAACACTCTATGACATAAATCACAGCAAGATCCTTCTTGACCCATCTCCTAGAGTAATGGAGATAAAAACAAAAATAAACAAATGGGACCTAATGAAACTTCAAAGCTTTTGCACAGCAAAGGAAACCATAAACAAGACCAAAAGACAACCCTCAGAATGGGAGAAAATATTTGCAAATGAATCAACTGACAAAGGATTAATCTCTAAAATTTACAGGCAGCTCATGCAGCTCAATAACAAAAAAATAAACAACCCAATCCAAAAATGGGCAGAAGACCTAAATAGACATTTCTCCAAAGAAGATATACAGACTGCCAACAAACACATGAAAGAATGCTCAACATCATTAATCATTAGAGAAATGCAAATCAAAACTACAATGAGATATCATCTCACACCAGTCAGAATGGCCATCATCAAAAAATCTAGAAACAATAAATGCTGGAGAGGGTGTGGAGAAAAGGGAACACTCTTGCACTGCTGGTGGGAATGTGAATTGGTTCAGCCACTATGGAGAACAGTATGGAGGTTCCTTAAAAAACTACAAATAGAACTACCATATGACCCAGCAATCCCACTACTAGGTATATACCCTGAGGAAACCAGAATTCAGAAAGAGTCATGTACCAAAATGTTCATTGCAGCTCTATTTACAATAGCCCGGAGATGGAAACAACCTAAGTGCCCGTCGTCGGATGAATGGATAAAGAAGATGTGGCACATATATACAATGGAATATTACTCAGCCATAAAAAGAAACGAAATTGAGCTATTTGTAATGAGGTGGATAGATCTAGAGTCTGTCATACAGAGTGAAGTAAGTCAGAAAGAGAAGGACAAATACCGTATGCTAACACATATATATGGAATTTAAGAAAAAAAAATGTTATGAAGAACCTAGGGGTAAAACAGGAATAAAGACAGAGACCTACTGGAGAACAGACTTGAGGATATGGGGAGGGGGAAGGGTGAGGTGTGTTAGGGCGAGAGAGAGACATGGACATATATATACTAACAAACGTAAGGTAGATAGCCAGTGGGAAGCAGCCGCATGGCACAGGGAAACCGGCTCGGTTCTTTGTGGCTGTCTGGAGGGGTGGGATAGGGAGGGTGGGAGGGAGGGAGACAAAGAGGGAAGAGATATGGGAACATATGTATATGTATAAATGATTCACTCTGTTATAAAGCAGAAACTAACACACCATTGTAAAGCAATTATACCCCAATAAAGATGTTAAAAAAAATTTGATTGTTAAAATTTTAAATTCTGTTATAACACAGAAAGGTGCAGGTGTGGGTTTCTATTGCAAATTCCTCAGATGTGGCAGTGCTGAGCCTGCTGGCCTTCTCGTCAGTGGCCAGCTGGACTTTCACTCCATGTATGGGTTCCAGAGAACCCACAGCTCTGGGCCCTGACACTAAAGCCAGGCAACAGCTGTCATCTACCTTCTGCCCAGGCTGTAACGCACGGCTACTTGGCTGCCTCGCCCCGATGGTGACCTCACCCCTGATGGCGCCCCCTGGCGTCCCCCAGTCAGAGGCTTGGCTCAGAGACACCTGTCTCCCGGGTGACTGACCTGTTGTAACAACCACGAGCATCCTTAACGCTGATGTTTGCTGAAGTAAGCTTCAGTTAGGACTGAGCTAGAATATTGAGAAGAATCTCTTAACATATGAAGAAAAAGAGCAGAAGATAAAAGTTTTGTGGTCCTTTTTTGGCCTCCTTTGTCCTTTGAACTCTAGTCAAATTCCCCAAATGTGTCCCAGTGTTCCTATTTTTTGGGAAATCTGAATCTTGGGATCTTTATTCTATCTTTTCCTTGGAAACAACTCTTCAATTACTAGGTGGGCAAGGAAATCCAAATACTCATGCACAAAGGAAGTAATTCTTTCTAGACACATTACCGACAATTATGGACACATAAGGCTGTTTTTCTGAAAATAGTTATGAATATGTTTTGTCATATACCATTCATTCTTCAAAATGATGTTGTTTCATCTCAAAAGCGGTATTCTTCTTTGGGCTACAGTGGCAAGCACTGCTCGTAGGAGTCGTATGTGCTCAGTAGTCCATTTGGAAACCAGGTCAGCATTCTTCCCCGAAGACTGGGAAGGGTAATCTTCTATTGCAGGCATGGCTATCCTTTTGTTTAGTGGGGTTTACAGGCAGGCCTTACTAGGTCTGTGGTCCTCTGGCCTGGGCTTTGGGGTCCTCCAGAAAATACAGTGGGTGGGCAGATGAAAGAACCCAGGAGGTCAGGCTGAGTTATACCGCAGCACTGGAGACTGGAAAGGAAGGAGGTGGACCTCGGGATCAGGATAATTGGTCTTCCAGGCCGGTGGTTCTCAGATTGGGTTGACCATCAGTCATCCACAGCCTCCATCTCAGGCTTATGGACTTAGACTACCTAGGAGCACTGCAAGAGCAGGTGGCTGGCAATCTGTATACACACTTAAAATTCCCCCCAGGTGGCTGTGATGGGCAGCCAGGTTTGGGACTCATGCTTCTGACCTCCCTTATACTTGATGATTAATGTGAGCAGCCTTGAATCATGGGCACACAAGAAGCAGTTGTGGTTGGATAGAAAATGTGACTCCAGGAAGGCTCTACCTGGCGCTCAGAACTGGAGGAAGAGAGCAAAGTGTCCTGGGGTGCCCTCAGATGCCAAACGTCTAAATGGAATCTTATAAACAATGAAAATTCAAAGTGCTATAGTAGTTGTAGAGGACAATAGTATCAGGGCATCTTTCTTGTGTTACACAGTAAGGACGTATTAATGTGGCTTTTACTGAGGTTGTAAACCACCTCTATCTTGTCGGATCCAATGGGCAAGTCCCCATCTTTGCCTAATTCGAATGCGCAGTCACATTCACATAGATGACCACTGCCTTCTCCTTGAAACCCTTTCTTGTCTTGGCTTCTATGGCACCACATTTTTTTTTTTTTTTTTTTTTTTTTTTTTTTTTTTTTTTTTGCTTTCTTCTTACTTCTTAGGCTCTTCCTCCTCTGTTCAACCTCTAAGTCAAGAATTTTGTCTGTGCCATCTTCTCTTCATTTTCTGTGCACCCCGGCAGGTGATCTCACTTAGCCCCAAGCTTTAAATACCATCTACAGTAGATATTGAACATTTCTAAATATATATCTCCAGCCCTGACCCTTCCCCT